CAATGCTGCCCCAGATAGGTGGCAGGACAGATGGAGCACACTTACTCCCCCCCCACATTACACAGAAGAGGACGAGAACATGCTTCGAGACCTCTCTGCCTCCCTCGATTTGTTTGACACATACAGATGTATTCACCCAACGGAGCGGACTTTTACCTGCATCCGCACATCAGACCCTGCACGACAATCTAAATCCCGTATTGATCTTATTTTGATATCCAAAGACATAAAAAGGTCACTACAAACCGCAATAATTCTCCCTAAGAGCCCGCACCCGGGGCTGGACCACAAAACATGTGGGGCCTTACTATCCTTAGGAAAAGGCCGGACCAAGGACCGGGATTCTACAAGCTGAATACCTCCCTTCTAAAATCACCAGAGTTTCAGGAGATGATAAACGAAGCATGAGAACAGTGAAGATCTTTTCGACATCAATTTGACTCAGGAATACAGTGGTTCAATAATGGTTTATTCTTCTTGGGATGAAAATGCAATGAATTCTCTAAGCAGAACGCAAAGAAACATAACCTTCAGGAGATGGAACTTCACAAACAACTTCACACCTTGGAAAACCAAGGGACTTCGGATGAACCGAGTAACACCATTCAAGAGCTACGGGAGCAATTGCTGCAGTACGCGTAATATAGGTGGCAAGGAGCTAAAATCAGAGGGAAACTCACCAAATGAACATCCGAAGGAACCATGGACACATGTTTTTTTGGCAAGGCAAAAGCAAGGGCACATCGTAACACTGTTGAGGCATTTCTTAATCCTGAAAATGACTATGAGGTGGCCATCACCACGGCACACTGCACAAGTATAGCGCGAACCTTCTTTAAGCAATCACCTCACAAATAACAAACCCCCTTGAGGAAGGACACCAAAGGGAGCTGGAGGATTTCCTGGGCCCATTGGATAACGGTCTTAGTCTTCAACAGAAGGAAAAAATTGAACAACCTGTAAAGAAAGACGAGATATGGACGGCCCTCCTACAAATGGATGAGGACAAAACTTCAGGGCTGGATGGTTTTCCTAAAGAATTTTGGGAAACCATGTGGCCGACCCTACACCAGGACCTAATGAGTTACTACGGGGAGGTGTGGGAAACTGGACAGATGGGGGAATGCGTGGGTCAGGGGGCGATGTCCCTCTTATACAAAAAAGGAGACAAAATGAACATCAGAAACTACCGACCCATCACCTTGCTAATAATCGTTTACAATATGCTTGCTAAAGCCCTCGCCAATTGATTAATTGAGATAATGGAAGATATTATCCACCCGGCCCAATCAGGATTTATAAGGTCACGAAACATTCTAGGAAACATCCTCCTAGTCAATGAGATGATCCATCTGGCTCAACAATCGAAACAGAATGCGACCTTCATCTTTATTGACTTCGAGAAGGCCTATGACCATGTGGATTGGACCTTCCTGGATGCATGCCTCCAGAAAATGAATTTCGGACCCAACCTGAGAAGATGGGTCCATATCCTCCACCATAACGCAACGACACGTGTACAAATAAATGGGAATTTAGCACCGGCAATCACGCTGCAGCGCTCGGGCAGATAAGGGGACTCCATCGCCCCCTTCCTTTTTGTGATAGTTATGGAAGCATTGTCGGCCAATTTACGACATAACAAGGACATCCGGAAAATTAAGATTGCAAATATCCCCGAGGAAGCCATCCCGGTATACTCCCTCGGGTCCTGGTGTGGGAGCAATCTCCTTCGCGATGTTGCGCGGTGCCACAGGAAAGGTATGTGGTCCCCTTCGGCGTTTCCCTGTACCATACATTCTCCTGGCCGTTTTTGTAAGAGGAGTCGATGCAGGAGGTTCCTCATCACCTGAGCTCGTCGAGCTTCCAAGCTCCATATGTTCGGTACCCGCACAGATAGCTGTAATCTCCTCATCGGTATCCGTTCCTTCTCGAGGTTGACGTGGTCGCAATTTGCGTTGCAGCGTCTTCTTCCTTCTCTTGCGCGCCTGCCTTTCCTCTTGGTTTTGTTCCACACGGACAGAGCCCCATCGCTTGGAAATCTACATATCGATGATTCTGGCTACACGTAAATCGTTTTCCAATTTCTCACTTGCTTCTTCTCCTCTCTTCGTCTCTGCTTCTCCTCTTTCTCGATAGCCTCTTGTCGCTTCTTCTTCTGTTCCTCTTTCTGCTTTTTCTTCAGTTCCTTAGCTGTCTCCTTCGCCAACAACATCGATACCAACTCGCTGGTTGGGTCTTTGGTTTCCTTGGGGGCTTCATATCGAGGCACATAGCGGTCAGCGGATGGTGATCTTCGAAGTGGCTCCCAGTGTCGGCGTCTCGGTGAGGTCGACCTTGCACGCGGTTGGTCAACCTTAGGGAGTTGCGCCGCTCCTGATTCTTCACCCTCCAGCCGCTTGCGATCAGCTCCTTCCTTCTCTTCTTTCCAATAGAGTCCGCAATCGCGAGCATAGTGCCCATAGTGCTTGCATGAATAGCATTGCGGTACTCGACGTCCACCACTGCCGGATCCGCTACCCTCCCCCGGTGGAGGGGCCTGACTCGAGGATGCCATAACGTTGGTGTGAGTAGCTATGCGCAGGAGGATCTTCCAAACCGGTATGTAACTTCCAAGGACTGTCGTACTCGGTCTTCTTCACGCTCACAGGCGAATTCTTGACCACCAATAGGAGCAACAAACCTCCAGCGGTTATCAAGCGCTTGCGCAGGGGCACATACAGAAATGCACACAACTTCAAAATCATGTACACAGTCTCGCAGAGACAGTAAACAACAATGATGACCCGCACTGCGGGATGTCAGATAGGAAAAATTAACATCATAGGAGTTCCCATCCCGTTGTCTCCCAGCTTCGTACCCGCCAACCCTATGATCCGCCAATCATACCGTCATACCCGACAAAAAGAAGTGGTAGCTGTACGAGTAGCTGCGACTACCGCGAACGGTAGTCGAGCCAAACGACAGCTACCTGAAGTCCAGCTGTTTAGAGAGGATGAACTAGTAGCCGGTAAAAGCTATATACTACCCAACCTCCTACACTTACTCGTAGGACGTCAAAGCTACACGAAGTGTCTTATGAGGTCCGCGGTCAACTGCCAGACCGGGCCCCTTCTGACTGCAAAATTATCCAGTACCCTTAGGAAAAGTTCCAGAGGGTAGGCCTTCCGAAGATAATAAATCTTGAGAAGCATCACCCGGCTTGGAATCTTATGTTGCAGGGAGGAATTCACGTCGATCCTGTGTAGCCAACCAGCAACAGCAGCGGCCATTTGGCTACGACTGGACCAGGACATATAATCCTGGCCTGCTCTGATGGACAAGTCCAGTCCCTGTACCAGGTCAGATTCGTTTCGCACTCTTTGAAAACAGCCCGAAAAAGGCTGCCTGTCGTCAATCTTCAGTGAGCAACCCAAGAATTGATGACTGAGGCCTGGCTGGCAATCGATGTATGTTTATTCTTCCACCCGGCCATTTTTTCAAGGGCCAGCGAAATTATCCAATCTTCGTATGTGGCTTGCCTGCCCAGCGCTCTGAGGGCAACCCCCAGTATTTGAATTTGCGCCTCCAGGGGTCTCAATTTTATCTGTGGCTGTTCTGGTGGGCGTACTTCTTGAACCACCAGTACCTTTCCCAGCTATCAAGTCTGACCCTTCGGCTACTGGTATGCCAAGCCTTGGCGAGCCTCGAGATACCAGTGGCTACGGGTAGCAGGAAAGTCGTCGTTTCTAAAAACAAAAAAAAGAACAAAAGAACGAAAATGAAAATAAAAATAAAGAACGAAATTCTTAGAAAAAAAAAAAAAAAACGCAAAAACGAAAACAATGAAATGAAACGGTAGAGAGATTTATCCGCTTTGAAAAAAAAAAGAAAAAAGAAGAAGATAGATAGATAGATAGATAGATAGATAGATAGATAGATAGAGATAGATAGATAGATAGATAGATAGATAGATAGATAGAGATAGATAGATAGATAGATAGATAGAGAGAGAGAGAGAGAGAGAAAGAGATAGAGAGAGCATCCCAAGAATGCATCTTCCCGTATGCTGGAGGAAGATGCATTCTGATTTTGAACATCAAGACGTGCGCGTTGCTGGGGGGAAGGCGGCAAGAGAGAGAATGAGAGAGTGTGCATCCCGCCGCGCTGTCGGGGACTCTCTCTCTCTCTCTCTCTCTCTCTCTCTCTCTCTCTCTCTCTCTGTGTGTGTG